ACTTTCAATATATCCGATAGCGTTTTACATGTTTTGTCATTTTTTTTACTTATTATATTGTTATCGATTGATATATTTTTATAAAGTATCGACACTTTTAATATATCCGATAGCGTTTTACCTGTTTTGTCATTTATAGACCGATTTTGTCATTTTTTTACTTGTTATATTGTTATGGATCAATATATTTTTATAAAGTATCGACACAAACCGACAAGCTAAGTTTGCCGGTTTCTAAATTTTTTAATATTTCTTCATAATTTCCACCTATTACATTATTATTACTCGATATTTTCGGTAGCGCTAAACCGAATTTATCAAATATCTTTTAATGTATCCGATAACACCATATATTAATCGTATATTAGTCTGTCTTTTCTAGACAATCTTCGCTAGCTTAGAGTTCCTCAACCAATGGTGGCCCACCATCCGTCCTTCGTCGGGATTGGCGATGGCGCCTTTTTCCAACTCCTTCATAGCTTTAAACGCGGCTCCATCTCCGCCACGAACTCATCCGAGAACCCTATCCTACTAACATCGAGGTACAAACCGTGCTCCTTGTGCTGGTACAACCAGTCAACGTACCTCCTCCAAAGCGCTTTAGGATCTTTCTCCAGTCCACCTTGCTTGGCCTTCTTCAAAACGCCTACGCTGTTCGTTTTCGACAAATCGGAGGACACTTCACGAGTCACGGATAGCTTAGAGTTGGAGCGAGTTGAGGATGCGAGTGAGTCTTTGCGAAACGGAGTGAGTTTGGCAACTCGGTCATGCTTAGGATTCAAAGAAGGGGAAGAAGAGCAAAGGCCCGAAAGACATGCCATTGAAGAACACAAAAACGAGAGGAAAAGAAACCACGATGATAACGATGTGCAACAAAAAGAATAAATAGAGAGGGATTTTTTTAAAAAAATTTAGTCCATTGGCCTGAATTCGAACAAGGGTTTGATATTTTTTTGTGAAGAATAGACGAACCGAAATGGTTTCTGGGGTTTTACGCCTTTTCCGATATGGTTCACACGTTGATTGGTTGGTCACCGATTGGGTTTGTTTTGGTTGGTCTGTGGGTCCGATCGAGTTTGCGCTCCAAATAATTTCTAAGATATTTTATGAGGGAACAAATAACACACATTGTACAAATTTAAAAACTATTTTGATTTTGTTTTTTGTTCAAAAACTTCAAAACCCATCACATCTAAGCATTTTCATTCAAATCATTGTTTTGAAAATCGGACCGGATCAGACCCGTTAATTTTGTATTTTTTTTAAAAAAATAAATCAAACGACGTCGTTTGTTAAACGAGTCAAGTCAAACTCGAGTATTGTTGAGTTTGACTCGAACTTAAAAACTTTAAAAGTAAGCTCAACTCGACTCAAACTCACGAGCTAAAAATTATCAGTTCAACTCGAACTCGAAATATAATATTGAAACTTAAACTCGAAAAGACTTGAACTAAAAAAAATTAAAAGCTCGATTGAAGCCTAAAATTCGAGCTTGATTAAAGTAAAAGAATAGTTCACTCAATGCTCACCAAAAGGCTCCATGATTTTGAATGCCAAATTATCTCTATTATTTATAGAAGTTAGTTGGGATGCTCTTCTATGTTTCTTAGCCATGTGAGATTGTTTTTAAAAAAAAAATTAAATCAAACAATATCATTTTGTTATGATTTTTTTAGCCCCAAATTTATTTTTTAATTATAGTTATATAATTATATTTATTATTTAATATGTTTTACTTTAAATATTATCTTGTAATTAATTTGAATCATTTTGTTTCACTTGATTTTATGGTTTTTAACTTATATATGTTATGATTTACTTTGAATATGACATGTAATATAAAAAATTATTTTTTATTAAATATTTTTGATATTTTTAATTAATTTTTTAAATAATTGTGACGTCGTCCGATTCTTTCGACCGGTCGAATCGGTTCAACCGATTGAACCAATAAACCAATAGCATGACCGATTCGCTAACCGATCCGATTCTGAAAATCATGATTCAAATTATAAAATTTTAGGTTACATTACCAAATAAACCTTGAATAATACGTCTTTATAATTTTATTTTATTCAAATGCTGCCCTGGAATATTCCTCCTTAGTTTTGACCTCAACTTTTTGAAAATTTGTTAGACCGCTGAAGGAAAGGTGGAGAGAGAGAATATTTTGAACGTTGCAGAATATTTGGGAGTAATCATTAATTAATTGAAATAAAAATATTTTTTCTTTATACCCATTTTTTGAATTATGTTTCTTTTAGTAAAATTAATTGATTTTTATAATAAAACGTGGGATTATCGATGGGGTCTTTTAATTACAACTCATTAAAAGAAAAAAAATAAGTTTTTCCTCTTTTTAAAAAAATAAAATAAAATATCGCTGCTTCATTCACTCAAAGCACAATATGTACATTAAATAATATAATGGCAATTTTAACTTATTGAGTAATTTTAGTTATAAAAATAAATATTTTTTTCGTTAAAAGATTTGAATGCAAGTAATTATATCTACAAGATATATGTATGTTGTCGTAAATTAAGAAAATATATGATTGATAAATGATGACTTAACAAAATATTATAATATAGATAGTTAAAGAATCATTTAATATATTCAAGGAATAAGAGTGTTTAGCGTGAATGTGATAAATTCAATTGTGGGTAAATGACTTAACAGAGATGATAAACACTCAGCGGAATGCAAGTAAAAGGTCAAGATAAAGATCGAACGTTGACATTCAAGGGTAGTTAAGACTCGATGGATGTCTCTAGGGTGGTCATAAGTTGTACAAAGAGGGTCAAAGTAGTTTGAGAAAATTAAGGGAGAGTGGGGTTTAGGGCAGGCTTAAGTGGTTCTTGAAATAAATTAAGAGGATACAACATGGTTTAATTGAGGAGAGGGATGATTACCGATGGGACAAAATAATCGATGAAGGATTGAACGGTGGTGGCTTAGTGACGACGATTGTGCACAATTATAAGGTGGTGTAATACCACACAATGTTGATCTTATGGGGGTTTTTTTGGTTATCCACTTCACCTGTTGATAAAACACATGAAGGTCGAATGACGGCTGAAGGTATGGACAATAAAATTGATGGCTAGGGTTTGGGTTAAGGTTAGAGAAAAAAAAAATTTGGAAGAAAAAATAATTTTAATTTTTTTTTGTATGAAGAGGGTGATTTTTTTTTTGAAAGTTATGTGGATAAGTTTGAAAGTAACTATTTTTAAATTTTATCACGTCATTAAATTAATAAATTTAATGACTTATTTTTTTATTAGTTTGGGATGATTATAATGTAGTGTTTATTCGAAAGACAATCATTTGACAATAAATGCTCAAACACTCTTGTAGACGTCGTGCTCAAATCCGGAACCTCTAGAGATAATAATCATCCCTTAACTTTTGACGATGTTTGATTCATACGACTCATTGACTAGAATAAGACATATCATTATTGTAAGTGACCAAATTGTTACTTTTTTTAAAATTAGTGACCAAAATAAAATAAACTAGAAACAAAAAGATCATACATATAGTTTACCTTATAAAATTATAGGTTAAATTGTAAAAAAAAAACTTAAATATATCTTTATAATTAACAACTAACATAAAAAAATCACAACTAACAATATAATTTCACATTTTATATATATATATATATATATATATATATATATATATATATATATTTCAGGGTGGACACTTGCATATCCCAATAGTGTTAATGTTAAAAATATCTTCGACTTGAATGAAATAATTATATTTTTATATTGTGGATATATTTTGTTATAGGTAATTTGGTATATGAAATATAATTTAATGTAAAAGAAAAACGTTTTTCTAATGTTAAAAAAGTATTTTATTTAAAATTTATTAGAACTTTTAATATGAAGATAATTTCATCAGAAAATTATGGACTGAAAAGACGAGTAAAAAGGAGTACTTCTATGTCTTCACAAACTATTGTTTATCGAAAATCCAAATGGTGTATGAACGACAACTCTAATTTTAGGATGGAATACGATAACAATCATAAAGTGAAAGAAATTCCGTAATTGTGGTTTGAATAAACCTCATTTTAGGATGGAATACGATAACAATACTAATTTTTTTTCTATAAAATTATTTTATATATTATTTTAGTAAAAAATATTATTTTTTTTATTCAAAATAGGTGCCTAATGTTTATATGCTACACTTTTAGATGTCTGGACTGAAGCTGTCGCTAAAATCAATCGTTAGATGACATGTGTCACATTTATATTTTTTTATTTTTTTAAATAAAGATAAAATTGTTATTTTAAAAAACTCAAATGTTTCAAAAATATCAAAATGACCCTTAGATTTTGAAAACCAAATCATTAAACTCTTTTGCCAGCCATTGTTGACGTCGTCAGTCACATACCCATTGATCATCGAACTCCAATGTTGACAAGTCCTTTTCCGTCACTCTTAAAACGATCTTCGATCAAAAATCGATCGCAAATCGTTGCAAATCACGTGCAAAATTTGAAACAATGGCGCGTAAATCGATCAAAACGGTGACTATGCTTCAATAGACTTTCATTTAGGGATGGTCGGTTGTGGGTTATGCCACTGGTGGGTGGGCTTCGTCGAAATTTGGGTTAGGGATTTAAGAGTATAAGTGGGTTTATGATTTTGGGGTGTTTTGTGAAAAAATGATAATATAAGGTTTTTTTAAAATAATAATAATTTAATTTTTAAAATAAAAATTAAAAATATGAGAGTGACACGTATCCGTTAACAGAAAACTTTAACTTTTGGGCGCCTAAAATGGTAATGGATAAAACATTAGGTATCTATTATTAGCAAAAAAATTCTTCAGGCACCAAAACATAATTTAAGGTATAGCTTAGGCACTTAAAAGTGTATTAAGCCGTTTTATTAAACTAACTAACAATAATTACACCAATCCCAACGACGTGATTACTGTTTTACCCTCATCATGCCCTTCATAGAAAAATATCTTCAGGTTTAGCGATCTCAAGGAAGAAAAAAAAAAGGAAAATAAAATTCTTCTCGTTCTCTCCCGCCGAAATTCCACCAATTTCTGCAGATGGCGACGGCGGTGCCGGACAATCTAAGCCGTGACCAGTACGTTTACTTAGCTAAGCTTTCCGAACAAGCCGAGCGCTACGAGGAGATGGTCCAGTTCATGCAAAAGCTCGTCCTCGGCTCAACTCCTGCCGCCGAACTCACCCTCGAGGAAAGAAACCTTCTCTCGGTTGCCTACAAAAACGTGATAGGATCTCTACGCGCCGCTTGGAGAATCGTTTCTTCCATCGAGCAGAAAGAAGAAGGTCGGAAGAACGAGGAACATGTTGTGCTCGTTAAGGAATATAGATCGAAGATCGAAGCTGAATTGTCGGATGTTTGCGCTAGTATCTTGAATTTGTTGGACTCGAATCTGATCCCGTCTGCTGCGGCGAGTGAATCCAAGGTTTTATATTTGAAGATGAAAGGGGACTATCATCGGTATTTAGCAGAGTTTAAGGTTGGTGACGAGAGGAAAGCAGCTGCTGAGGATACTATGCTGTCTTACAAGGCTGCTCAGGTGACTCTTTTTCTTACAAGAGATCTGTAACCTTTTAACCTGGCTTTGACTAAATATCTGAATGTTAGACTTGTTTTTTGGATGTTGACTTGGAATTGTGATTTTAGGTTTAGAGTTTTGATTTTGAAAATTCAGTATTTTTTTCGAAGTTGAAAGTTTTGATTCTGTGTTGAATTGAATGAAGGATATTGCGCTGACGGATTTAGCACCAACGCACCCTATCAGGTTGGGACTGGCGCTGAATTACTCGGTGTTCTATTATGAGATTCTCAATCAGTCTGATAAGGCTTGTAGCATGGCTAAACAGGTGAGTGTTTCTAAGCTCCAACTTTTGTCTCACCTTGCTTCAGCTCTTTCAGCTCTGCATAAACCAATGGGAAATGAAACATAATGTGTTTTTTTTATCAATGGTCTCGCTGGTTTCTTCATAGAAGAGTATAATATTATTAGCTCATTTAATCTGATTAGTTTAATAGTTTGATGATGGACAGTTTTATGACTGTTTATTTTATGGCTTGTATCATTTCGTCCTTTAAAGTTTAGTGGGGGTACAAAAAGGAGATTGCTTTGACTTTTTCTGTTGGTGACTTGATGTAGATGACTTTGTTAGGAGCCAATTAGATTAGAGTTTGAACCAAATTTATCGTAATTGAAGTGGCGAATGATTTTCTTTTCAATTCTTGCAAATATACAAGCTCTGTTGCTTGATTCTAGCCATTCCATTTCTAGTACCTTAAATTTACTTCTAAGTTTGAAGTTTGTGAAATTAGGATCGTAAAGAAACTGAAGTCAATCGTGTTATTAGCTAACCATATCCTTTATGAGCATAGCATATTGGAGTTTCAGCAATATTTGTTGTTGCTTCTGCCGTTAGGTCTACTAGCAAACTTTGGCATTTAGGGCCATTAGTTAGAGGATAAAATAGTAACAAATGCATCATTTTCAAGCAACAGGTAGATCAATCTGCTTGTTTGGAGTTAAAATGTTTGGATATGTTTCCTATGGCCTCCCTTGTTTACTTTTATGAGGAGAAAATAAGTGGAATGTGGCCAACCTCCGAAGTAATGCAACTTAATGCATGCAACTTGTATGAAGATCACCTCAGTTGGATGCTTTAAATAAATGCTAACATCTTTGGTATTTCGACTTATTTCTCTGAAAAATGTTGGTAGTTGTAGTAAGAATAAAACATGAACTGAAGTTGGGAATTCATTAAATATCCCTTGGTTCTTTAAAAAGGCATTTGAGGAAGCCATTGCTGAGCTTGACACTCTGGGAGAAGAGTCTTACAAGGACAGCACTCTCATTATGCAACTCCTAAGGGACAACCTTACTCTATGGACTTCAGATGTTCAGGTCATTGCCCTCCTCTCTCTTGGACACTCTCTCTTGTGCGAGCACACAATTAAGACCATGTTAATGGTGTTTTCATCATAATGATTTGACCAAATTCTAACTGTAAATGTTGGATGTGATGCAGGACCAGTTAGATGAGCCATAGAAGGTGGTTTAATCCTTGTTAGTCCTGTTCTTCTTCTGGAGGGGGTGGACTTTGAATGTCATTTGCTAATGCTGATTAAACTGTGTAATCTAAAATTGGGATTTGAATTGACCTTGACATAATGTTGCTATTATCTCTGTAACGCCCGACTAGTTTTCTGAATTTGGAAGTGACTGATAGGCAGCGTTTTCCAACTAGTTAGTTATATTTAATGCACAGTAGCAATTCTTAGCTATGGTAGAAGTTTTCCAAGATGGCATAGAGAATTGAACATAATAACCACTGTAGAATTTAGATTAGTGAGTAGAAATAGATAAAACCCGAGGAAATTGAGGGATTAAAATGATAGATAATACACTTATTTAACAATGAGAATCCCTTGTCTTATTTTTAAATTAACTGACTCTAGGGTCTAAGACATTTGTTATTATAAAGAGATTTTAGATTTTCACATAGAAAGCCTCGTTTACTCGAGCTAGAAGTCATACATACAGACAAATTGTCTATGAGATGGAGAACCCTTGTAAATATTTAAACCGGTTTCACCCCCCCCCCATCATACTAGATCCGAGAGATTCAATCCCTTGTGCTGTTCTTAAGCCATTCTAGATACTGGGGGCTGCCACCGTTGATGGGTAAGGCAATTACTTCCGGTACACTGAAAAAAAAACAATAATGAAGGCAAGTTCCGACTAAGGGACACCCGGATTATTTTCTTTTGAAAACAACCCTTTTGGCCTTATCCAGTTGGAATTTCAAGCATCAAATTTGAAACCTTAAATCACATTTCAGTTTAAAAAATAAAAGCGGTTTTGTGCTTACTCGTATTCGTGATTTGCGTTGACATGTTCTGTGAGTGCTGACAGGAGGGATTGCCTTATCTTGATTATCAGCAGCTCCTCAGGATCTGTGTTGAATATAAATGAATATAAACTTAGCTTTCAGCACAAGACCGTCAGAAATACTTGGATTAGCTGCCTATGCAAAAACTCTACTAGTTAAAAAGGAATATATTAATGACTCTTATGAATCTATTTCAACAAAAGCAATATATCTATCCAAATGGAAGTTCATGCCTTTCCCTCCCATTCATACACCGACTCCACACCTGCATTCACAATATATTAATGACTCTTATGAATCTATTTCAATAACTACTGTTCAAATGATTATAAAATCAGAAATAATAAAATCTACCCCCAAATGAAATTGAACAAAAATCCCCTTTTTATTGAAATAATTAACTGGAAACAATTAGAGGGATTTATAAAACAGAATGTAATCACACAACGAAGAAACCAAGAAGTCAAACCTGGGAATATGTTTACACACGCTGCAAGTTTCTCTTTCACAATGCTTCCAGCCAACTTCTTGCCTGCATTATATATTGCGAATTAATTAGAAGCATATTTTCAAGTTTCAACTACTTATAAACTTTATATACTGGAAAACAAGCTCCACGATAGAGCTATAATAGAGGAAGTGAAAAAATTGAAGACGAAAAGGAAAAAAAAGTAATAGCTTTAAATTCCCAAATTCTGAGATTGTGTGAAATACGATTCCTTGGCCCGAACTCAGATTCTATGACTTGTCGTTACAGGAAAAAGAAAAAGGGAAACCTTCTCTGTTTGGAACAGTAACATAAACAACGATGCTTGGAACAGTGTTGCTATTCGCTTCCATTTTTACAGCGCGGACGGTCTTATCTGGTGTTTGTGTACTAAACTTGGATCTAAAACAAGAAACCCCAAAGGAGGCTAAATTAACATAAAATCAGCAACATATGGTTGAATTGGTTTGTGGAGATGATAGTGACAAACTACTAGCTTAAGAGACGAACAAAGGGGAGAAACTGAGCGCAGCCCCGTTTTGAGGTAATAAGAAGAAGAGAGAGTGGAAAACGCACCGACAGTTGGAAACGGCGTCGTACGGTGGTGGAGGAAACAAGCTCCCTGCAGCGGAGAGTGGTAGCCATTCCTGGGTTGGGTCTTGTCTTTAAATTATGTACAAGAAGGTAAGTATTCGTTACCTGGGCGTTTCGATGAAAGAATATGTGATTCTATAGTAATATAATTAACATCCTCTCGTTTGGTTAGTTTGAGAATCTCATTTTTGGTAATGTAAGATTATTAATAGTAGATTTTTTGGGTATATTATCGAAAATGTTATTATCTCTATTTTTTTAGGTATTGTTGGATTACCGGTATTTTGGATTAAAATGCCCTTAATTTTTTTTTTCTTCGAAAATATTTTTCTTCTGTCATTGAATAATAAAAATTCTATGAATGTTAAATTAAAAATTATCCTTAAACTATTTTAAATTTATAAAAAAATCTATAATTAAAATTTTATATGAAATTCAAGAGTTAAAATAAAATTTTAACATTTCATTAAATCTTTTTATATTTTCAATTTTGTAAAAAAATTATATAAAGTTTATGAATTTAAATTTTTTAAAGAAAATATATAAATATTTTCTAACTTGTTAAAAAAATAAATATATAATAAGAATAATTTGGTCAAATATATATTCTAATAATCTTTTATTCTTTTAACCAAACACTGTAATCTTACATTCCTGTTAAGCCAACCAAACACAAAATACAACATTCTAATCCTATTATCTGATAATCTTACATTTTGTGAATCAAACGCACCCTTAGTGTTGATTCGATTCCATTCTCTTGCCTGACCTGACTGCCCAGGCAGTTTTAGAATTTCCTTTCTCTTCTTGTGAATGTGATTGGGTGGTTTTGCCACGTGTGCTATCCATCACTTAATCCAATTCGTTAGTTTCTTGGCCCATTCTCGAAAGGCCCTTTTTTAGATTTATAAGGCCGAAAACGAAGTTAAAACCATGACAATGCTTTCAACGCATACTAATAAAATAGAACAGCTGTTTAATATATTTTCCGACCCTCCCCCCAAGAAATAAAAAGTTAAGATCATATAAAATGAAAATATATTTCATTAAATTAAATAATTAATTTAATATTTTATTAATAAATCATGAAAATATAATTAAATTTCGTCATACATATTATTATTATTGTTTTATGAAGAAAAATCTTTAAATGTAATTATAATAATAAATTATAGTTATTGTCGATAAGCACGCATCTGTGCTCCCTATCATTAAAAACAAAAACTCCATTGATAAGATAATAACAAAGTGTTCATATTCAAAAAGACACAAGAGGCACGAGGACAAGTGGGAAATGTTTAAAGGAGGGGGTGGTGAGAGACCGGAGATGTGGTCTTTGAAATTTTGAATGACTGGTTATGGTTATGGTCTTTTTTTATGGATGGGGTGAATCTCAAGAACTTGGTCCGACCTTAAATATGAAAAAATACTTTAATATAAAAATAATTAATTGTTTTAATAACATCATACGACTAGATTATATGATATTATAATATAAAGATTCTAAATCTTAAATTTAAATATAATAGAGATCAAAATTTAACCCATAAATATAAACATTGAGAACGAGTGGGTGGTAGGCAGTGAGGCATGACATGACACTCTGTTAAGCTCGGATCTCAAACATTAAGAGAAGACTTTGCCTTTAGACCGCCAAAATTATAATGCAAAGTGGGAATATAGTCTGTGAGAGTGAGATTAACACAAACATAACTGACAACATCCACCCCCCATATGGGATTCCAACCCTTTAGTTTTTTTTTTACTAAAGGGTTTCCATTCAAAAGGGTGGAAAAAGACTTGAACTCCAAAGCATAATTCAGGGTAAAATAAATATCTTTTACTAAAGTAAAAAAGAAAAGAAAAGGAGGTTGACAGAATATGGGGGAAGGAGAAAAGGGTTAGAAATGTGTCCTAAAAGTCTCTTTACTTATATTTTAAGTAGGCTCGTCTTGAACGAATTAATGAATACGTTGAGAACAAGAGCATCCAAGGTTAATTTGTAATTCTTTTTTACCGTTTTTACAATTTTGTCAAAATAATAATAAGAACTGAATTCAAACTTTTTTCCCTTCAAGCTCAAATGCATATGCATGTCAATGTTTTGACTACATAATTCATCCAATACGATTTATTTGAATTTATAATTTATAAATATTATAACAATATTATTAATTAAATTAAAATCTGATCATTTATTGAATGATAATTAAGGCCTTGGGTTAAGAGAAAGATGAATTGGTTTTAAATTGGAGGAATTAAAAACACAGAGAAAGAAACAACTCCTAGTCGAGGGGTATCAAGTCTAGTGGTGTGGAATATAAGAACATTCAAGAAACAAAGGACCAAGCTTTCTGAGATGTTTTTGTGTTTCTTGATTTGTACAGTGTTTGTTTGACTGTAAATTATTATTACTAGCCGACCAGACATTGTTCTGTTATAAAACACCATTACCAAGGAAGTTAAATGATGGGATTTAACCCAAGGATGCTCACACAATGTCTCTCTGTTTAATTATTTAAACCACACTTTAGCAATTATCGTCCTAGTTAAAAGGATAATTATCTAAATCCAAAAGAAAAAAATGCTCCTAAAAGTGGAAGAAAAGCTAAAACCCGACGCTTTTTTTACAAAGATGGACAGTTTTACTGATTTTCAGAGGACTTTTTCTACTGTTTGGCAAGAAAGAAAGTTTTTGAATTATTTAACGGCTGGGTTAGCATTTTCCCCTCTGTTTATACAAACTGCGTGAATTCGGGGGTTATTACAAGACACTACAGAATCAGCGGGGTGCAGTGAATAAGGAAGCTTTCACCATTTATACTTCACCATTTAAATAAAATAAATAAATGTTTGGACGCAAGCAACTCCTGTATGAAAATTATGATAAGCCTACGTCAGTTCAGTGTTAAGCGTAAGTTCACAATTTCATCCCTCGGTTTTCTTTTTAACCTCTGTTCTTGTCATTAAAGTTTAAAATTTTTCAATTTAATTATTAGACTTTCGATTTATTTCTATTTTAATCATTTGAACGTCAAATCATAAATGAAACGATGTCAAGTCATAAATGTTAAAGTATTAATATGCTTAAAAACGTTAAACTACTAATTAAATTATACCAAATTATATTGCATATGGAAGCTACAAGTTCATCTGACACCGATGCAAGTAAACATTTTAATAATATATATAAAATGTGTATGAATAATAATAGAATAAATTGATTCGTAATTCAAAGAATTTACATATAGTCGAATAAATGATTTTTCTTAACTAATTAAGATAAAAATTAATAAATTGAATTAAATCAATTGAATATATTTTATTACAATTAAATAATAACTTGAATCTAACATGACAATGTTCTACTTTAATTAATAAATTAAATTAATTATTAAAATATAATCATTGATTTGAAGGTCATGAAATAGAGACATCTACTGTGATTAAACTTGAAAACAAATGTTAACATTTATGAACTAAAATGAAAAAGGAAACGAAATGATTTTCACTAAAACTTGGTAATATCGTTCCAAGAAACAGGAAAAGTTGCTTTGAAAAATATTGTTTTTTTTTTCACTAAAATGAAAAAGGAAACTATAATAGATTTTACCATAATAAATAAAATATTGTTTTTTTTTCAAACAATTCAACGCACTAAATTGAAAAATCTAATAAGCACAATCCGAAACTAATTGGGCTGTTTGAAAAATGAGAGATTTTTTCGTATAGAAACGCGTCGGAAAGAAAAAATGAAAGTTTATGCATTTTTGTTCTGTAGAAATTACATATAAAAGAAAGTCCACAGACTCACAAAATACAATATTTTTTTCTCCAAGATTCTCACTCTCTTTCCCTCTCAGTGTCGCACGCTCTTTCTTGCTTTTACCCTAAAAAGGGCATCGGTGTGCTTCTTAAGTGACCCTCTCTTCCTCTCTTTCAAGAGGGAGACTACCGCAACATCGCTCTTCTGTTTGTAGAACTTGTTTTCATTTTTACAGATATTATTATTATTATTCCCTTTATTTGTTTTTCAATTATTTGATTAAAGGAAACACTTTTTGTTTTGCATATAAACTATTACCATTTCTTGTTTAGAAGATACAGATAAAAGAGAGTTTTTTTTTCCTTTCAATTTTCAAAGAGTTTCTGGGAGGTTTTTGTCTGCAATGGCACCGAGCTTTGATTGTGCAGTTTCAAGTCTTCTATGTGCAGAAGACAACTTCAGCATTTTCGATGACAACGATGATAACTTTGGTGGGGGTGGTGAGTTTGGGGCAACAACATGGAATTATAGAATTTGTCGAAACTCGAATCAAAACCGAGCCTTTAATGGTGTTGGTGAAGATGGATTGCCGTTACAGAGCGACGAATGTGTGGCTTTAATGTTGGAGAAAGAACAACAGCATTTGCCCAATGCCGATTACTTGAAGAGACTACAAAGTGGCGATTTAGAACTGGCGGCTAGAAAAGAAGCTGTTGACTTTATTGGGAAGGTGGGTTATTAATTCAGAAATGAATCTCATTTTGATTCTAGATTTCTATTGTTGATTTTACTTTGTGTTCATCAACAGGTTCATTCCCATTTCGGTTTTGGACCATTGTGCGAGTATTTATCAATAAACTACTTGGACAGGTTTCTCTCTGCCTATGAATTACCCGTAAGCTCAAAAAACCAATCAAATTCTTCAAAATTTTGGTCCTAATCCATTGATTAAACGGCATCTAATCTCGAATCGTGCAGAAGGGTAAAGCTTGGACGATGCAATTACTAGCTGTGGCATGTGTATCTCTAGCAGCCAAAATGGAGGAGACTGAAGTTCCATTGCTTTTAGATTTGCAGGTTAAAAATCAAGCAATAGCAATAGTTTTTTTGTTGTTAGGGTTCGATCTAATGGTTTTTGATTAATAGGTTGGTGAATGTAAATATGTGTTCGAGGCTAGAACTATACAGAGAATGGAGCTTTTAGTGTTGAGCACGTTGAATTGGAAAATGCAAGCAATCACCCCATTCTCCTACATAGACTATTTCCTTTACAAGCTGAATGATGATAAAATCCCAGAAAGAAGTTCAATATTGAGATCAATCCAACTCATCTCAAGCACAATAAAAGGTCCCCTACTTTCTCTGTTCTTTCTTGCAGACATATGTACTATTTTTTACGAGGGAAACTGATGGGGTGGGTGGGAATTGAATGCTGCAGGGATTGATTTGTTGGAATCCAAGCCTTCTGAGATTGCAGCAGCAGTGGCCATATCTGTTGGTGTAGTGGACACTGAGAAAGCAATGCCTTTTCTCACTCAATATGTACAGAAGGTAAAAACAACTGTGTGATCCAAAATCCAAACTTTAGATGCTGTTTTAGTTGAATTAAACCCATTTTGATTTGCAGGAAAGAGTGATGAAGTGTGTGGGAGTGATGTCATTGGTAGGTGAATCTATTAACAATGCCGGCGTCCCATCCAGTCCGATCGGGGTGCTGGATGCCGCTTGCTTGAGCTATGAGACCACGGCAAGTAGTTCCGGTACCAAAAGGAGAAAGCTAAACAGATCCTTACCACAACAAGATGAACAAGATGAAAGAATGGATTGTTGAATTGTATTGTTTATCATTGTAGCTTTGGGAGAAAAGGGTTTATATATTAGTAGAGTTTGTTGAATAAGTTGTGTCATGTCAAATGCCATTTCATTTCATGCTATTGGCATGGAGAGGCTTACCAGCTGTTAAATATTAGACTTCTTAACAGCTAATTGTAATTTCGGAAAAAAGAAAAAAAAACATTTATACTATGCTATTTGAGTGAATACTCAATTTTTGTCCGATTTCATACTTCCACTTACGCTATCACCAAGAGAAAAAGAAAGTGTCATCATATTAAATAATATCTTGAGTGAATCTTTTCATGTCGAGTGTGATCTTTTATAGGAGATAAATATGTTAATTGATTTGAGTAAATAAAAGTAGATGTTATCTCCTTTGATGGGAAAATCTTGTATGATTTGGACAAATCTTAGCCGTTAATGTAAATAATCTACTCTATTGGATCTTTGGAGGCTCAACTATAAATAGAAGCCTTCTCCATCACTTTAGGATGCGAAAAAATAGAGAAAAAGAGAGAGAGAAAAAGAGAGAAAGAAATGGATGAAAAGAAGAGAAAAGAATAAACCATTGTAATTCGAAGAACAAAAGCAATAAAAGTGAGTTTTTGTTTAAAGTTAATTTCTTTTTTTTTTGTTGCTTCGATTGATATAAATTTTGTTTTTTTTTGTACGAGAGAAAACTGATTGGGATGTTTGAAAAATGAGAGATTTTTTCGTATAGAAACGCGTCGGAAAGAAAAAATGAAAGTTTATGCATTTTTGTTCTGTAGAAATTACATATAAAAGAAAGTCCACAGACTCACAGAATACAATATTTTTTTCTCCAAGATTCTCACTCTCTTTCTCTCTCAGTGTCTCTCTCTCAGTGTCGCACGCTCTTTCTTGCTTTTACCCTAAAAAGGGCATCGGTGTGCTTCTTAAGTGACCCTCTCTTCCTCTCTTTCAAGAGGGAAACTACCGCAACATCGCTCTTCTGTTTGTAGAACTTGTTTTCATTTTTACAGATATTATTATTATTATTCCCTTTATTTGTTTTTCAATTATTTGATTAAAGGAAACACTTTTTGTTTTGCATATAAACTATTACCATTTCTTGTTTAGAAGATACAGATAAAAGAGAGTTTTTTTTTCCTTTCAATTTTCAAAGAGTTTCTGGGAGGTTTTTGTCTGCAATGGCACCGAGCTTTGATTGTGCAGTTTCAAGTCTTCTATGTGCAGAAGACAACTTCAGCATTTTCGATGACAACGATGATAACTTTGGTGGGGGTGGTGAGTTTGGGGCAACAACATGGAATTATAGAATTTGTCGAAACTCGAATCAAAACCGAGCCTTTAATGGTGTTGGTGAAGATGGATTGCCGTTACAGAGCGACGAATGTGTGGCTTTAATGTTGGAGAAAGAACAACAGCATTTGCCCAATGCCGATTACTTGAAGAGACTACAAAGTGGCGATTTAGAACTGGCGGCTAGAAAAGAAGCTGTTGACTTTATTGGGAAGGTGGGTTATTAATTCAGAAATGAATCTCATTTTGATTCTAGATTTCTATTGTTGATTTTACTTTGTGTTCATCAACAGGTTCATTCCCATTTCGGTTTTGGACCATTGTGCGAGTATTTATCAATAAACTACTTGGACAGGTTTCTCTCTGCCTATGAATTACCCGTAAGCTCAAAAAACCAATCAAATTCTTCAAAATTTTGGTCCTAATCCATTGATTAAACGGCATCTAATCTCGAATCGTGCAGAAGGGTAAAGCTTGGACGATGCAATTACTAGCTGTGGCATGTGTATCTCTAGCAGCCAAAATGGAGGAGACTGAAGTTCCATTGCTTTTAGATTTGCAGGTTAAAAATCAAGCAATAGCAATAGTTTTTTTGTTGTTAGGGTTCGATCTAATGGTTTTTGATTAATAGGTTGGTGAATGTAAATATGTGTTCGAGGCTAGAACTATACAGAGAATGGAGCTTTTAGTGTTGAGCACGTTGAATTGGAAAATGCAAGCAATCACCCCATTCTCCTACATAGACTATTTCCTTTACAAGCTGAATGATGATAAAATCCCAGAAAGAAGTTCAATATTGAGATCAATCCAACTCATCTCAAGCACAATAAAAGGTCCCCTACTTTCTCTGTTCTTTCTTGCAGACATATGTACTATTTTTTACGAGGGAAACTGATGGGGTGGGTGGGAATTGAATGCTGCAGGGATTGATTTGTTGGAATCCAAGCCTTCTGAGATTGCAGCAGCAGTGGCCATATCTGTTGGTGTAGTGGACACTGAGAAAGCAATGCCTTTTCTCACTCAATATGTACAGAAGGTAAAAACAACTGTGTGATCCAAAATCCAAACTTTAGATGCTGTTTTAGTTGAATTAAACCCATTTTGATTTGCAGGAAAGAGTGATGAAGTGTGTGGGAGTGATGTCATTGGTAGGTGAATCTATTAACAATGCCGGCGTCCCATCCAGTCCGATCGGGGTGCTGGATGCCGCTTGCTTGAGCTATGAGACCACGGCAAGTAGTTCCGGTACCAAAAGGAGAAAGCTAAACAGATCCTTACCACAACAAGATGAACAAGATGAAAGAATGGATTGTTGAATTGTATTGTTTATCATTGTAGCTTTGGGAGAAAAGGGTTTATATATTAGTAGAGTTTGTTGAATAAGTTGTGTCATGTCAAATGCCATTTCATTTCATGCTATTGGCATGGAGAGGCTTACCAGCTGTTAAATATTAGACTTCTTAACAGCTAATTGTAATTTCGGAAAAAAGAAAAAAAAACATTTATACTATGCTATTTGAGTGAATACTCAATTTTTGTCCGATTTCATACTTCCACTTACGCTATCACCAAGAGAAAAGAAAGTGTCATCATATTAAATAATATATTGAGGGAATCTTTTCATGTCGAGTGTGATCTTTTATAGGAGATAAATATGTTAATTGATTTGAGTAAATAAAAGTAGATGTTATTTCCTTTGATAGGAAAATACAAATCTTAGCCGTCAATGTAAATAATCTACTCTATTGGATCTTTGGAGGCTCAACTATAAATAGAAGCCTTCTCCATCTTTTTAGGATGCGAAAAAATAGAGAAAAAGAGAGAGAGAAAAAGAGAGAAAGAAATGGGAGTTTTTGTTTAAAGTTAATTTCTTTTTTTTTTTGTTGCTTCGATTGATATAAATTTTGTTTTTTTTTGTATGAGAGAAAACTGATAAACAATGAAAAAACTCTTAAATAAATTTCCCTAAGTCTAACATTCCTTAAGGTTTCTCGATTAAAATCGATAATTTCCTTTTATCTTTATTTTTTATTTCATTTTTACTTCTGTGTCTATTACTTCGATCTTGCTTTTGTTTAAAAATTTAATTCGAATAGATAATCAATGAAAAAGGAAAATGTTTTTAAATAAACATCATAGGTTTAGCCTTCCTTGAGATTTCTCAATGAAAATCGATGGTGGATCTTGAATGAGGATTTTTTTATCTTTTATTTTATTTGTTTATTTTGATCCAATTTTAAATTATTTTTGAGTTTTATATTAAATGACCCAATGACCCGATCCAAATCTCTATGAGATCTATGTATTTCCACAAAGGTAGGGGATAATTATTTTCATGAACTCTCAAAATTGTTTTGAAATTTTAAGTTGGATTTCAATTGCGTTTTAGTTTATTTTAAAATTTCTTTCTTAAATTTCTTAGTTTTCGTTTTAATTTCTTAAATTATGTAATTTACTTTTTCCTTAATTTGATTGATTTCTTTAATTTCTTTTTTTTTCTTTCTTTGGTAAAATGTTTTATATTCGTGATTTTATATTTAGAAATATTCGTAAAGAATATGTTAGACCGGTAAAATATTATATGGTAAAATATGTTAGACCAGTAAACACTATTATTAGTGATTTGATATTTAGAAATATTAGTAAAAAATATTTTATGTGAATAGTTGGGTTTTTAATATATTTTTGAATCATTTCATTTTGAAATTATATATATTTATTAGATTGTTTTTAAACGTAATAAGAAAATATAAATTTATTTATAGATAAATTAATTTATTTTTATCGACTCTTTAAATTTTTAATACTTATTATTAAAAATTTAAATTTATTTTATGAATACAAAAATTTTAGAAACGAGCATGTCCAAGACAAATAAAGGTTCATAGTCTAGTACAGAAGTGGAAGCTCCAAATGGCCTTAGGTCCACCAAGAGCTTTAAGCCCGTTATGATTTCAGACCCAATAAAATCGAAGAACTGAACTTGCCATGCAACATGGCAACGTCCGACTTCACCTCCCACAAAGAGAAATATTATCTTCTAATTCTATTAATTAAAAAAGAAACGGATACTATTAATTAAAAATATTTAACATTTAACTGACAAATATTTGAAAATCTTAAATCAGTCCTAGTCTAGTTCTAACACTGTACTACATTTAAACCATAAGTAACTCAGTTCCCACTGCTCCAAAATCTCTTCGTACACCCGGCTGTCACGCTATCGCTCGCGTGCATTTTAGGCTATTTAATGATACCTTACTTTGACCCAACAAATAAAACGCTGTTTTAAAAGAAATAAAATAATAATATTTTCTTTCATCCTGGTTAAAAAGGCGCGAGCCGAAGCGTGCACAAATGCATGCGTGGTTAAGTAAAATCCCGACGCTGATGCCGACGCAGCGTTTTATTTTTTTAACATAAAATAAGCTGTTTTAATTTAAATTATAAAAAAAATATAAACTAAAACTTATTTTTAACAATTTTAAGTAATTATAAAATAATATTTTTTAAAACTTTTTTAATCATTAATAATATATATACATTCTATAAATGTATTTATATGAATATAAACCTTTTAAAAAATAATATATTAAACCATTAAAATAAATTGAACTTGAACCGATTTAAATTATAAGGTTGAATCAGTTTTTCACTCTTTCGTATATTGTGATACTGGACCACCCTGATTCTTCCACGTGGCGAGGTAACCAATCGTTAGGCTCTGAGGGGAGGTGTGAAGGTAAACAAGCGCAGGAGCGTGAAGATGTTGGGAAAAGATAAAACGGCGTGGGAGACTTACTCTTTTTATGGGACGAGCTAATGTACTCTCAAGATTAATTGTTTAAATAGGGTGAAATTTATAATATTGACCGTAGGTCGTCATGCACTCCGGATGACCTACCCTTGCTCAAAGAGAGAGAATGAACGTGTTGTATGACACATGCACGTCCCAACACATAGGTCGCCATGCACGTCCCAACACATAGATCGTCATGTCCTCCGGGCGACCTTGTAGGTCGCCATACCCTCCGGGCGACCTTGTAGGTCGCCATGCACTCTGGGCGACCTACACTCGTTCGGCTTCATTCGAATTTCCTCGCATAGCTCGCTCGATTGCCCTCGCATAACTCGTTCGGATGGCCTCAGATGCTCTCGGATGCCCAGCGTGTTGGGACGTACATGGCACATGTAATCTCTTGTAGCTCGTCAGAAAGACATGGCGACCTACTACCAACACTATAAATTTCACCTTATTTAAATAATTAATATTACATCTCATGAATTAATTTTTTTCAGCTCAAAAATTTTGTCCTTTTTATAAGGCGAAAAAAAAATCTTGATGTTTCCTTACTGTACTAAAGATTTTGGTGTCAGAGCAAGATTTTCTTTCCTTTTTATTTTTGGGATGGAAATGACTACTTCGACCTTTTTATTTTAAGAAATATTCATATATTTTTTCTTTATCTTCTTTATTTCCGACCACCAAGGAATTCAAACATTGTGGGCAGCTGAGTTTGGTCCATGTCTCAACACTAGAAGCATGGGGAAAAGTTCAATGTATTCATAATTAAGCCACGAGCTAAGCAATTAATGAAATAGTTTGACTACAAACATTAAAAATAATTAAATTTCAGGTTGTTTTGTTTTAATTGAAAATAGATTTAAAAAAATATTACGTATTTTCAGTGTTTACAAAGAAAATAAGCTTCGATTAAGCGAAATTAGCCTTTTTCTTTTATGATGACTATGGCTTTCTTAATTGGATAAAACCTCAATTATAACCAAGTGGTGAAGCATTCATCGTGTTATTCAATAAGGGTACCATCCATCTCATGATTCTCACGTAGGAGTGAGGAATTGTTAATCTCAATTTATTTTTTAGTTTCCATGTCAATAACTTATCATAATTACTTCAATATTCATTTAAATTATTTTATTATTTTATTAAATTTGATGAATGATGGTTGGCTTCAGACCCATCCCAAAAGATATATAGGTCATGTGTTATTTTTTTTAAATGAAGCTCTTAAAATATTTCATAATAAGACATAATTGTAAAATATTAAAATTTAAATAGATTGAAACTAATATAGACATAAATAAAAAAATATCTATTAAACACCATTAATTATGATTTTTTAGAAAAAAATTGGTTACAATTGAATTATTTAGATACTAAGAGAAAAAATTAGGTTTTTTTGTTAAATTTTGCCATGAAAAATAATATTTTTAGGTCAACAGATTTTTTAAGTATGAGACTTTTAAATTTAAAGACTTTGTAATGTATCACAAATTACACATACTAATGGATGAACTTAGTTAACTTGAATGGTGATAGGAGAAAAGTGGGTGAATGGTACTAGCGATGGTGGTTGAGTTGAATGATTTCATGGGATTGTGGGAGAAAAGAGGGTGATGGATGGTTGTGTAAGAATGGATAAAGAGGACCAATCACTCTGAAATTTGTAATTTTTTATATAATTTATTTTTAAAATATTTTTATTAATAATTTTTATTCGTCTTCTTTAAAATTTTATAAGTTAAAAATGTAGTAGATTGGTCTGTCGGAGGTGTTGTGTTATTGGTTTGCATTGCGTTGGTTAGAGTGGGATGGTGCCTTAATGGAGGTGGAGGTAGAGGTGGAGGTGGAGGTGGAGGTGGTACTTTTCAGTTGTATGATAAATTAGTATTGGTATTGATTGATCCGGGTTCTAATTATTCTTATATTACAAGTAAGTTAGTAAAGGAGTTGGGGATTCCCTTAGAAGCTACGAGTAATGAGATTATAGTAACAACTCCGTTAGGCCAGAGTGCCCGGGTGAATAAAGTTTGTAAGGGGTGTCCCATAAAGATTCAGGGAATTGAATTCCCTGCTAATCTGATGGAATTACCCTTTGACGAGTTTGAAGTGATTCTGGGAATGGATTGGTTGTTCCGTTATTATGGAGATGTTAGTTGCAGATTGAAAAAGGTAACTCTGAAAAGTCCAGAAGGAATAGAGATAAGTGTGAGCAGTGAAAAGTTTAATCCTTTAGCAAATGTAATATCAGTGATGTCTGCCAAGAAATTATTGCTACAAGGATGTCAGGGTTTTCTTGCAAATGTGATTGATTCAAGAGCTCAAGAGAAAAGGTTAGAGGAAATTCCAATAGTTCGAGAATTCCCTGATGTTTTTCCTGCTGAATTGCAGGATTACCTCCGGATAGAGAGGTAGAATTCCAAATTGAAATAATGTCAGGAACAGCTCCGATAGCAATGGCACCTTATCGAATGGCTCCGAAAGAATTGCAAGAATTAAAGAATCAATTACAAGAGTTGCTAGAGAAGGGATTTATCCGACCA